ACACAGGTTTTTATAGAGGGAAAAGGGAGGTTTTCTTTTTCTTTTTCTTTTTATTTTTATTTTTTAATACCAAACCTAGCTTAATCGTTTTGTGAAATTGTGTTTTTAAAACATGACTTTATAAAGCAACTTGGGTTATAAGATCGAAATGAGTTTGGAGATAATAATAAAATAAAACATAATAGTACGAGTAAGAGTGCAATTGGAGCACAAAAATTTGGAGACAGAAAATCTCATATCAAAAAAAAAAAAAAGGAAAGAAAGAAAAGAACAGATATTTTGATGGATTAAACACATGGTGTATTTTATGATTATTTGGTAGAGAGGGACTATCTTTTTGGAAAACCATGGGCATGGCAGGTTGAGAAAATTCAGTTTATTTGGGTGCTTTGTTTTTGGCCTTCTTTATGTAGATGGTTTCCAATGGAGAAATTTTATGTATTATCGATTTTTTATTATCATTTTGTATTTCTGTTTACATGCATATTTAGGCCTCGTTTGGGAACGGGTTAATTTAGTAACTTTTTGATTATTTGGCTAAAAAGGTAGGTAAAAAAAACTTGTATGTTTGAGATGACTTTTTGGCTAATTACGAAAAGATGTGCAAAAAGTAGAGAGAAAAGAGAATCTTTGACTTTTTGGTATGGGTTGTTGGCTTTTTGGCTAATTTAGTAACTTTTTGGCTAATTGGCTAAAATAGCCTCTTGCCAAACGAGGCCTTAGGATTGGTTTCCTTATTTAGAGATAATATAGAATGTAGAGTATTCTTCTCTAATGTAGGCACATCGCTCCCACTGTCCCTAGGATATTGGAAATTTATTTCCATTCTCAACTAGGCTACATAGAGCGCTATGCTTAGAATTCTCTATCTTATAGAGTTCCAAAAACTCTATTCACGTCACCTTTACTAATAAAACTTTATGTGACTTAGTTACACTACCACAAAGCTGCTTACCGCTGATCAAAAAAAAACAAAGCTGCTTACCTATATGCACATGACCCGGAGGATTTACATGACCGCATACAATAATGCACCACACGACCCTTTGTGTTTACAAGACAGCATACAATAATGCGCTATAGAACCCTAGGTCTTAACTTCGCAATCTTATGAGAAGTAAAATAAAGATAAGCTGCTTAACGGTTACAGATCGCCCATAGATGGCTCTCCGCTAACCCATTACTCAAATGGAGTGTAAAATCTGATATGGAGGGAACTTAGTTAGGGATATAGGCAACAAACTAGTGCAATTTCCAATTGGGAAACATTTTGCGCCATTATCCACCTAACATTAACAATATTTAATTCCTTATTCTCTACTACACCATTGTGTTGTTGAGTACTAGGAATAATTAATTTTCTAAGCATCTATCTCTCTTCACAGAGTTTTCTAAAATAACTCAAATAGATACTCGCCACCTCCGTCAAAACTAAAGGCACGAAAGCTATTATCTCATTGATCTCAACCTCATATGTGCTATGTCAAAAATCATCTCAAAACTTTTGACTTATGGGAGATCAAATAGTCTTGACTCAGATGCGTAAATGTGTCGAGATTGAGGCTTAGCTATCATACCCTTACACATATCTAGTCACAAATATCATAATGGACTAAATGCGCCAAAACAAATGACCTTCTACGGCTTTCCTACTTACTTGTGCGCACCCATTGCGAACAAAGTTACACATTCACATGAGAGCAGGATGTCATAAGCAAGTGGGCCCGAGAAGGCCTACTCAAACCATCGTGTCATCATCTCATTAATGTGATTAAGTATAATAAGCCACTGGTTCATGACCAATGTCATAAACTAATTCCAATCATCTTAATGTGTGAGTTCTCAAAGACAAGTTTTAAAGGTTTAGGCCCAACTAGGTAATGACTCACGACAAAGTCATATTCACTAGATCATAAAAGGGATGTCATGGAGATATCAAGTGCGCCTAAGTCGAAAATTTAACTAGTAAGTGCTAATCCCCTGCACCTTCAAGTCAATTTTATTCTCCATACACTTTACTGCATCTAGTTGAAAGATGACGATACTCATCTTGCCATATATATTTCTCGCTTCATAGTTACTTGCAATTAATTCTACTATCCACAAGAATGAGAGAATAAGCTATCAACTATGACAGCTCCTGAAGTAACTTAAATGCGAATTAGGCTAAAGAGTCTAATTTAACACGATACTCTCACGAGCCATGCGTCAAATTCTTAGAGTCATAACAACCTTGTCAACTTTGACTTTTTCATTATTATGCTGCAACGTTTGCGCTTAGTGGTAAACGTCATTCAAAAACGTTAGCCTAGCTAAGGAATCATACAAAGAAGCCCCTCCTCATGTCTCACACTCAAGTGTGGAAACAGTAAGTGTCCAGTCTTAGACAAGTTGGCAATGCTAATAGATTTTGCAGCCACTAAGCGCTAATCTTTTCACTTAGTGTCAATAAATTTTGCAACTTCTAAGTGCTAATCTTTTCACATAATGTTAATAGATTTTGCAGCTTCTAAGCGCTAATCTTTTCACTTAGTGTTAATTCAACGCACACTATTATAGTGCATGAAATTTTGCTCCATCCACTATCAATAATTGGGTAGAGAGCAAAACACTGCTCATACTTGTTACTCGTCTTACACTTAATGACTAATTTATTTAAGCTCGCATTTCTTGGATGACGTGACTCTTGAATGTCACTTCATCTAATGATGTAACATTATTTACAAGTCAAATTACAAAGTCAATCCGCGCAGCTCAATAGGCAAGATCATATACAGATCTATTGAGGGCTTACTAATTTCATAACTCCAAAACTCGCCAACCAAAACTACGTAGCGTGCCGCTAACCATAGCGCATACATTAGTTTTTATTATGCCAAACAAGGCAACAAAACCACAGCGACTTTGAGTCATGTTTCCCTACTTTAGCTCAATTAAGACTTGACCTAAAGTCTCCAAGACTTTTGCTCATCTAAAGAATGGGATTACATTATTCACATTTGAACATCTTTACTAAGTCTAGGTCAACCAATTAACTTCCATAAGCTAAGTCAATTTAGAGAGAAATTCGTATTGGGATTAATTTTGATTAGCATAATATAATTTTGCCGCAAAAATCTAAATTAAATAGTGACAATATTACACAAGTCGCAAGATCGAAAATCCGCTATGCTCGTAATTATCTCTTGTGCCACAGGTGATAATTATCCAAAATTTAATTTAATTTATGCGCAAAATAATGATTTTCAGGAGTAAATCTACAAAGATTTCTCTCAACCGAACATTGGCTGTATTATTTTGACAAATGTGATATTGATGATTTATTTCCTTTTGATATACTCACAAGAGAAGATTGGTTATTTTTATTTGAGTGTATTTATAATATACATTCAAATATTTTATTAAGAATAGCAATGTACATCAACTAGTTTAAAATAAAATTCACTATGCACTTTTTGTTCTTTACGTACTATTTGAAATTTTAAATAACTAATAAACACACATTAAATTAGAAATAAAAAATTCCAGAATCTGATAAACTGAAAAAATTATTCCAGTAAATAGAAAAACATTTCAGAAGTCTACAATAAAAAATTCAACCCCAGAAAATAATTTATGCAATACCAGAAGCATTTTAAAGCATAAATAATGAATTATAATCACAGGAAAAATACTTTTTATTTTCATAAAATTTTTAAAATTTTACAAAAGATAGAAAATATAATTCTGAGTCTAACAGTACTAACCACGCTTAAAACAAAGCTATAACGAATTAATTATGACCATTTAACGTAATTCTGAATTTAAAAACAAAACAAACAGACCCTTACATCAGCAGCCAAGTCAGTGGAGGAAAAACGGCGCGGCGCAGCTCAGCGCGTGGCGCGCGTGTGTGGTGCGGAGAGCGCGCGTATGGAAAGCGCGGAACAACGCGCGCGTGGAGGCGCGTGAGAGTGCACGGAGGCGTGTGAAAGCGCGTGGCAGCGCGTGGAAGCCTCCCATGGCGTCAGGTGGCGCGTGAGGCCCACGCTTCGCCTTCTAGGGTGTTTTCTGGTTCGATTTTTGTACTGCCGGACTCTATTTTTCACAATAAAAACATTTATGGCATTAAAAATAACATTTAATGAACATAAAAATGAAGTGTATCACATTCTCAATCAATGAGAGTTGAAGTGCAAAAAACCGTGCACTTCATCTTCCTCCTCCATTAATTTTCATGCATATAATGTATATATATTTATATAAAAAAATACACATATTTTAATGCATAAAAAATAAACACGAAAAAACCCATATAGGCTCTGATACCAATGTAAATCATAAAGCATTATAAATTAACGCAGCGGATAAAAATAATTCGGATCATACCTTAATGACACAATCTCGTGGGTAAATCACGTGCTTCCAAAATCTGATCAGTCAACGAACCCAACAATGGAGTGATACTACAAAATGAGTATTACCCACACAAGTCACAGTGCAAAATAGCTTGATTGTTATTTTCTGAGAGAGAGTCAGAGAAAGAGTCTGGAAAAAAGAGGTTATGGGTAAAAACCACATAACTTATATATGATATATGCATATCTTTAGATTAACCATATAATCTGATATATAACCAATATCTATCTATCCATCTATCCATATTTATTGATATGATAGATATAGATATCCTAAATGGTTATTCAAATAAATTTTGAATTCAAATTCAAACTTACATAAATAAGGTTCAAAAGGTTCAAATTCAAAAAGTTCTAAGAATCATGTCACATGAACGTCCAATTTCTAACATGTAATATTTGTTTGAGAAGTGAGAACTTGACCTTCATTTTCTACCATTTTCAAATACATATTGGAATTTCTATGAAATTTGAGGCTGAGACTTGAGCATATTAGTTCACTTTATTTGAATTTCTTACCCTACGGCCAAGGTAGGCAATTTTTTAGGGTGTTTTTTTGTGAATTGACAAAACTATCGGTTAGTTAATACGTCTTTAAAGAAG